GAAAAAATGGTATAAAATTACAAATTCAAAGAAAAGAATTTGAATTTTATAAACGAAATTTGATTAAAGACTAAATAAAAGACAACAAACCTTTGAATATTATTAAAAAGACTAATTAATTTTATTAAAGACTAAATAAAAGACAATTAAAAAGACTAATTAATTTTATTAAAGACTAAATAAAAGACAACAAACCTTTGAATATACAAAAAAAAATACTGAAAAAATGGTATATAACAATAAATTCAAATTTAAAAAATTTAATTTTATAGAGAAATTTAATTATAAACTAAATAAAAGAGAACAAAAAATTCACCCATAGTTTTCCATGGCTTGCAAAAATTTAAAGAGCCTCTTACAAGACTTTTGGAATTAAAAAAAAGATACTGAAAAAATAGTATAAAACAACAAGTTCAAAGCAAAAAAAATTAATTTTACAAATGGAATTTAATTAAGGACTAAATAAAAGAGAACCAAAAATGCACCCATCGTTTTCTATGGCTTGCGGAAATTTGAAGAGCCCATTATAAGACTTTTGGACTTTTGGGAACCAGATCTTCAAAGGCGATTCTGGAGAATTCATATAGGGTTTTTTGCACAACAAGCGCTATTGTTTTTATTTTTCGTTTGTTTTGCCGAGGCGTGAAATTCGAGGAGTGAGGAGCAGTGGAGGATGGTATCCCCAAATACGATTCCCCAGAACGCCGTCATCCATCTTGCACTTGATGCGACGCCATTTAATGCCCGTCGAGCAAATAAACTTCTCAGGAACAGAATGCCACCCACCGAGGATGCAAAAAATAAACGGGGCGTCGAATGTGAAGCCCCCTGGGCAAATAAAAGTGTCGGCAAAATCACATTTCATCCCATTCATTTTGCCTGGTCAGCAATCTGATGGAAGGCAGTGTAAGTGTCCACATCTGTTGGCCCATTTGTTGACACACAAACTGCAGGCCAAAACCAGAGTTTTATGCTTCAATTTTATTCTTTGCCAATGTTGTGTTGATGTTTAAACGAGCTGTCCGCAGACGAGGTAAATGACAGAACGTTTGTTTTTTATGTTTTTGTGGGATTGAATCGAATTCATTCGAATAAATAATATTTATTTTCCAGTCTGAATTCGTTTAATTTTGGTTAAAATAGTATTTTTTTTATAAACAAAGTGTGTTTATATTATTATATTCTTGAATATATTTTTTTTAAGATCATAATATTTAATAAAGTATTTTTATATTATTATATATATTTATTTTTCATTCAGAATTCTTTTAAACTCAATTAATATAGTATTTTTTGAGAATATTTTACAAAGTATTCTTATATTATTATCTTCCCACTTTGCACACCTTTTAAAAAATAAATATTTTTCTCGTATTAATCAAAAATCTATGTTTAAAAAATCTTTATTTTCTGTGCACTGGCGCCCAAGTCCCCATGGAATAATTAATAAAATACCTTTTAACGTGGGCTGAGAGTCTGCAACTTAAACTGAGCTCATTTCTTGGAGCAAACAACTGAGGCAAACAAAAAGCCCGGCAAAAAAGAAACAATTGTTAGGTGAGCCGGCTAAGGCAACAAATTAATATAAGGCCATGACAACAATCGAGCGAAGGAAAATCAACAAATTCGAGCCAGTAATATCCAGCCCACCTAACGCAATAATTTAGCAAACATAAAAATAACAAAAAGTTTGTAAAAAGCATAGAAAAAGGCAAAGGAAGTGAAAAGTAGCGCTTAAAATCGAATTGAAAATGCTCTAAAACTGATATTGGGAATACATGAATATCGATCAATACCATTTAGAGTTATTTTAATTGGTAGTCATTAATTAAAAGCGACAAAAAGCTAATAAACTACAGTTTGGGCGTGAAAGTTGCTGCATTTATTGCCCTTGTACTAATTTGAATAAAATTAAATACAACATCGTTTAGATTTAAATAATTAAAATTTACATTTTACAAGCTTTTAAAAAACATAATAACATAAATAAGAATGTAAAATTACCTGCCTATTAATTTGGTTTAAATGGAGTCTATAATTTGGAGCTTTAAATAAGCAGTTTAACATTATTTTTTACAAGCTTTTAAAAATCGTTAAATAAATAAAATTGGAAAGTTACAAGCCTCTTAATTTGGTTTAAATAGATTTTTAAAATTGGAGCTTATAATAAGCATTTTAACATTATTTTAAGCTTTTTAAAAATTGATTACATAAATAAGATAGTAAAATTACCTGCCTCTTAATTTGGTTTAGCTAGAGTTTAAAGTTTGGAGCTTAAACTAAGCATTTTAACATTATTTTTATCATGACAATTTTTTATATTTGTTTTTTATTTTTTCCCTTCTTTGCACTTAAACGTAACTTAAACTCGTTCCTGAGATAGTGAATAAATGGCAATATGTATTCATAACCCAAGTCAAACGTTGATTTTTCGTCTTGAACTTCGCTTTGCTTTTTTTTCCGCCTTCCTTTGTTATTTGCCCTTTTTTTCAGATCTCAGACACGTTCCACTCGCGTTTGAAATTTCGCAGCCCGAAAAAAAGATATATAAAAAAAGAGATACAATAAAAAGAACAGCGAACTGCGGGTAATATAAGCCCTGAACAAGTTCTCGGGTAAATAATTAAATATGTATCTCGGCTCTTTATATTCGCTGGTTATTTGTGTATTTAGCCTGGCTATTCATTTGCTGGCCTTGCCATTCCCAGTGATGCCAATTTGAGCAATTTACATAATTCCAGTCGCTGGGAATGGGTTTTGTGGCCCAATCCAATAGTAATAGTGACTACTTTTGGACGTCATACCAGATGGCGGAAATGTACGGGCATTATGCAGTAATTACAATCTGCTTTCCACTTCTAAGACGCTGATTTTCTTTTTCATTTTCAATTCAATTTAGCTGGATTTTAGTTCAAGTAGGCATAAAAGTAAGAGGCAAGCCGGAATCTAGTTTTATTAAGTATAAAGCGCTACAATGCTAGAATGAAGAAACATAGACACATAAAGCTCTAAATATATTTCGGTAATATGATGCAGATACATGAGTTCCAAAAGGATTTGGTGATCTTTTGATCTTACAAAAATGCTCATACTTTTGATTTTTTAGAAATACTAACTTCAATTTTAGAAATACTAATTTTTTAGAAATACTAATTTCAAAAAAATCAAAAAAAATACTAATTTCAAAAAAACCAAAAACAGGTAGTTAAATTACTTTTTATATACGACATAAAAAAGGATAAAATTTATAACTTTATTATTAGGTTTATAAAATTTAGTTTTAATACAAATGACCAAAAATTTGACTTTTGAATGTGTTATTTCATATTTAAAAATAATAATAAAATAGTATATACAATCTTTGCATATAAAAAGTTGTTTATAAGATCGAAGAAAAAGGATTCTATCGAGGTAATATAACGTAACGATCACATTTCTTTAACAAAAAAAGGTTTTGAAACCAAATTTTGTGTTGAAAAATGATTATTCTACGGAATAAACAAATATACTTTCTAAAATTCTAATTCTATACTGCCTTCCAAAGTGATAACATAGTTTAAGTGCCTAACTAAATAAATAAAATAGTAATAATAAATAATAAAAGTAACAATAATAAACAGTAGTAATAGATAAAAAAAAGTGCCTATCCTAAAGATATCAAGGTGCATACACATATGGAACACGGAACCGCATCGGAACCCGTGCTTATAGAGTGCATCCATATCCATTCCGAGGTTAAAGCCAGTTCGGAGTTCATTGTTGTTGCATCGCAGTGGCGGCCACGCCCCAAAGGAAAAGGCAAAAGAAACGCGCAACTGAACTTTCGCAACTCCCCCCGTCCCGCCTTAACCCCCCGATGGCCCCCGCCAAAAGGCAGCCGCTTAACCCTCGCCAGCCGCAGCCACTACAACTGACCCACTCAGTCGAGAATACCTCTCTTTCCCGCCTGTCTGAGCTGCTTTTTATGGAAACCGGCTAAATTCCATTTGATTTGGAAGTCGGGCCAAGAGCCAAAGCCTCGTCTTCTTGTCATCATTTCTTGGCTCGCCTTTTCTTTCTTTCTTTCTCTGCACGGCGAAAAAATAATATCATTCCCACGTGTTATTAAAAAAAAAATGCACTAGCTGAAGCCATTTACATATTGCCTTTTTGGAACTCAACGGGTTTTTTTGTTTCACCTTTTAAACATCATTTGGAACTGGATTTGGAAAATCCACATGTTTCTTCTTTAAATATATTATTTTTTCTTTTTTGGCAAGAGTTAGAGTGGTACAAACTGAGAGAATGAATAAGCCCCATTGAATAATCTTATCTCTTTTGTCTCCCTTTCTTAAATATGTTTATCTTAAGCTTATTTTGATTTAAAAACCAAATTCTAGGGTTCTCAAATTGTAAGTAGATGTTGATTAAACCTTATAGTTAAAGGGATATATGTACTTTAAAGACAATTTTAAATAACAGTACCATGTGCAATAGCTATTTAATATTGTCTTAAGTATTTTTTAAGGTAATTATTTATATATTATTTTATGTAGTTAAAGTTCTACATAAATATTTATTTAATATTGTCTTAAGTATTCTTTGAGGTAATTATTTATTTACTATTTTATGTAGTTTAATAGTTTTATGTAGTAGTATGTAGTTTTACAGTTCTTTTTCCTCGGATTAAAGGAGTTTAGCTTCCAGCTTCCCTTATTTTACAAATATAAATTTTAGTATTATATTTATTTTATTTATTTAAGGTGATAGTATAGTTTAAAAAAATAATACTAACTAATATACTAGCTTTATTTTGTTAAAAAAAAGAGTGATTTTTCCAATTGCCTATAAGGACTATAGATATTTTTGTAAAATTGGTTTATTAAAATTCCTGAATTTTTTTCAGTGCACTGCATTTCACTCGACTGTCAAGGGCCTTTTTTATTACTTTTTTAAATATAAATAAGATAGCTTTCAAGACTATAATATTCCAAGTAATTTTGACAATATAATAGACTCACCTTACAACTTCCTGCGTCAACTGTTGCTTTTTGTGCGTTGTTTTTTGTGAATTCCTTGAAATTGTCACAGTTTTTGTCAAATTTGCATCCAATAATAACAAAAACAATAATCACAAAAAAAAGCCGCGCAAACAAACAAACAAACCAACACGCACGCACTCCACACACACACACACACGCACACACACTAGCGCGTGAAACGAGTTTATTTGCTGCACACAGCAACAAAAACAACAACGGCGAAAAGGAAACCGCAATCAGCCAAGGATAAAATGCGATTTGCAATTAAATTCCACCGCCTCGCCCGCATTATCGTATGCCTTATTTTCTCTCAGTGCAAATGGCAGGCAACAGGCAGACCATTGGGGAAAAGAAAACAAAACAAAACACAGGAGTTGGGCGCAAAAAAAAGGTAAATAAACGCACGAAACGCCGACGATGGCTGTAATTTCTGAGAATATTCAACTTATTCACTTTCGAACCGAATTCAGCAACGCATCAAAAGCAACAACACTGCACAGTGTGACCCGCGAAACTATCTATAGGTAATGCCGTTTGGTGTTACCATTCTTCAAAATACCAAAAGCTAGGTCTTTATAAAATGTCAGGTGAGTGACACCGCTAAGTTAGCGCGTGCACACACCTATCATTTGATTTTTGGGCCATCTCTAATTGCTATTTGTTATCGTCTGTTATCGGTTTTCAATTTAATGAAAAAATCGTCGCTTATCGTTTTTCTAAGGATTTGAAACAATACAATTTAATATTATTCTTCAACAACACAAAAATACATTTTTTTCAGGAAAAATGTCTGCCTATCGTTTGTTTCCACTTCTTCAAAGTTTGGCGCAACTAGTTAATTTAAAACCAATCAACCGCTGCAGTTGATCTGATTTTTGGCGAAAAATACGTTAATTTTAATTGAAAAAAAGCAGAACAAAGTGCTATTGCATTTATAAACTTACATTAGACTCATTCTAAATCTTAATTTCGAAAGTTTTGATTGGCTTTTTATACGCTTTTTCCAATGCTTTTTGATATGCTTACGCTTGACTTTTAGCTGTATTTTTTGGTAGGCTAATAGCTAAGTTTTTTGAATGGCTTACTGCTATTATTTTTTTAAGGGTTTTTTAATAGTCTTATTGCTTGACTCTTTGCTAAGTTTATTGGGATAATTTGTGACCCTTTTTTAAAGGTTTTTTAAGATTTTTGCTAGGGTTTTGGCTAGACTTCTTGCTGGTCCTTTTGTAAAGTCGTATATCTTTTTTCTGGGGCTTGAATCTATGGTTTTTTATTGTCATTCGCTATCGCTGACTTCGAAAAGAAAATCAAAACTTGTAAGCTTGTATTGTTAATTCATTTTCGCACATTATAGGGTATATTGCTGTATTAAAATGAAATTAAATGTTTACATATTTTTTTAAATAGTTAAAAAATATTTCAAGTCCAATGCCTTAATATCGCAGAATATTTAAGCGCGGACTTCAACCATGGTTGCAACCTCGGTTATTCACTCAGCATTGAAAGGAAACGTACTAATGTAAAGAAACGCCGATGGTTCGTTTATTCAACTTCAAAAAAGATAACGTTTTCACATCCCTAAGAAGTACTGATAAAAAATATATTTTTATTATTCATTGGCTTTGAAATTAAAGAAGAAAAAAATATAAGAAAAATGCCGGTGAGTAAGTTGAACAATAATAAATAAGTACACACAACAATGAGTCATGCTTGTTTAAAAAATAAATTAACAACCCGCCTTTTTAATTTCTCCAGGCCTTTCACTCGGAGATTCAGGACTTCCAAGGATCGGTGGGCAATATGGCCATCCTACCATTACGAACTCAAGTCCGAGGACCAGCGCCCAACGTTGATATTCCCAACGATATCATCGATGAGTCATTGTACTACTGGAAGTCAAACATTTTCTTTAGAACATATGAAGTTAAGGTTAGTAACTGAACAAAGAAAAGAGTGCCGAGATAAACAAGCCATATTATTAGTTCACAATTAATTTTTTATTGAGAAATGATCGGTATAAAATGGAAAATATTTGAAAAAAAAACGTAAATGAAATCTCTTAGTTCGATGAAGTTCTTTTAACGTCAGTAATTTAATGAGAAGTTTAACCTGCATATAATACCTACAGATTTGATATCAACATAAAAATGCATGGTTGTAGTCTATTTTAAAATATATTTGAAAATACACTTTTAAGAATTAAGTAAAATAAAGATTTGTTTTTATTTTGTATGATCATAACATCCTTTATGAGAATTTAAAAAATAAAAATATTTTTTTTAAATATAAAAAAGGTCTTCAAGACAAGCAAACAATTTTGGAACCCTTCTTATTAAAAAAGTATCTTTCCTGAACTTTATAGTTTTTGAATTATCTCAATAATATGTGTAAATATGTACCAATGAATTGTTTCTCTGTTGTTCTTATTCCGTCGTCTAAATAACCCCTATATCATATCTAATCGCAGTCGGAAGTGGATCGGGTGCTTATCTACATAACGCTGTACATAACCGAATGTTTGAAGCGATTGGCCCGCTGCACAAGCAAAGTGCAGGGTGAACAGGAGCTATATAGCCTGGCTATATCTCGGTTCGATCTGCCCGGCGATCCGGGATTCCCCCTGAATGCGATATACACCAAACCCGAAGATCCTGAAACTATGCGTCAGTATTTCCTGCAACTGCGCCAGGAAACCGGAATACGATTGCTGGAAAAGGTCTTTAATACTCCGGATGACAAGCCCAGCAAGTGGTGGATATGCTTTGCCAAGAAGAAGTTCATGGAGAAGAGTCTTTCGGGACCAGGAATGTAGAAAAAAAGGTCCATTTTCGTCCATATATACTCTATAATAATACAAAAATATACTGCCGACTTAAAAAAAATATTATAATAAGCTAAAAAAAAACCAATATTATATTATTACAATTTTTACATAGTTTTTTGATTAAAAAATCATTTTATGTGTAGTTGTTTTTATTGATTTGTACGCTTTCAAAAGCGCATATTCACATTTTAGGAAACTTAATGGCTAGTAGCGATTTTAAACATTGTTTGCTGAATGCTAATTAATACTTTATATAAATCTCACTATATTTATAAAATCGACAATAAACAATTTTTTTTACATATAATAATAACAATTAATTTCAGGCTAAGGTTTTAAAATAATCAAAGCCATATAGGTAATCATTTATTAAAATCGGTTTTAGCTGCAGATCATTTTCTTTTATGCCTTTTTTTTTAGGTGTTTGGAATGCCAATAAACGTTTCTATACATACATACAAATGCAGATCTTAAGACTATCAACAAAAAAATGGAAAAAAAAGTACACGGTATACGAATTAAGCTTACAATAGAGCAGGGCAAGGCATTCACATAGAGTTTTACAGGAATGACAGCATAATTTATGTACAAAAAAACATACTTGCTAGCGATTTAGGCCTACTTAAACTCCTTGACGATCTCTACGATGCTCTGGTAGGTACCGGTGACAATTCCCAGCACGGCCACCGTCAGGATGAGGATGTTCTTGATGTAGGACCACGCCCCCAGGCCCTTGGGCACCGGCGCCCGCGTCACAAAGTCGATCAGCACCGGGATCACGAAGGCCAGACAGGTGGAGCACAGGGCCCCGATCAGCGAGATGAACAGATTTAGTTTGGGAACGACCAGCGCAACCCCAACTGGAACAGGGATTATAAAATGGATTAAAATATAGGAGATATTTTGGAACATCTATACAGTAAATGATCCCTAAAACAAGTGATAGAAGTACATCAAAGAACTATATAATTATCATTAAAGTCACATAACTATTCCATTCCATACTTTTTATAGTATTCAAATTCGTTGAAAATTCTTTTATGATTAAGTCTTTACTGTCTCTTTTATGATATTAAGTTGAATCGAATGAAGGGATTATATAATGGATTAAGATATAGGTGGTTTTTTGGAAATTCTATACAGTAAACTATCCCTAAAACACATAATATAAGTATATCAAGGAATTACATATATCATTTTCATAAAAGTCATAAACTATTCCATTCAAGAAGTAATGATATCACATTTACTTTTTAATAGTATTCAAATACGTATGATATTCTCTTAGGATCAAGTGAAAGTGTGGTCTTTTATAATAATGATTATCCCTAAAGCACATAATATAAGGACCTATATTAAAGAACTATATAATTATCATAAAAGTCACAGGACTATTCCATTCAAAAAGTAATGATTTCACATTTACTTTTTAAAAGGATTACAAATCTCATGAAATTTTCTTAGGATCAAGTAAAACTGTTGTCTTTTATAATAATGATAATTCCTAAAACACAAAGTATAAGTATATCAAAGAATTATATAATTATGAAAAAAGGTACGTTACTATTCCATTCGAGAAGTAATGATTTTACCTTTACTTTTTAATAGTATTAAAATTCCTATGAAAATCTCTTAGGATCAAGTTAAAGTGCTGTCTTTTATAATAATGATAATCCCTGAAACACATAATAAAGGTATATCAAATAACTATATCATTATCATAAAAGTCACATAAATATTCCATTCTATATATCATTAATAGTATTAAAAATCATATGAAATTCTTTTATGATTAAGTTTTAAATGTGTCTTTTATGAAATGATATTAAGTTAAAACGAATTAAATTTCTTAACTTCTTAAAAATCGACTTACATGTCATCATCACCATGACAAAACGCAGGCACACCTGCATGGTAATGGGATACTTTTGGGCACAGTTGTTGGACCGCTTGAGTGGCGGCCAGAGGATCTTCATCATCACAAAGAACTGGATAGGATAGCCAAGGAACACGCCCAAGGCGGCGACTACTTTCACCACCTGGGAAAATCTGTAAGAAAATCAAACAAGAAGTTAAAATGATCAATTTGCCATGAAAAGAGTTCCTCTAATAAGGTAAATTGTAAAAATTCTAGACTGTTCTACTTACACTTCCTCCACGACGAGATTTAGCGTTATGCTGCCGGCGACATCCTCACCCCATCGCACATAGCTCACAAATCCGGTGAAAATAAACAGACCCGTGGTGAAGAACATGGTGGAGTTAAGGACTCCGAACCGGGTGCTAAAGTTGTCGGGATTGCGCATTGAGTTCCGGAGTGGGAGGATGAGGGCGATGCCCTCATAGGAAAACAGGGCTGTGCCAAAGAACAGGGCTAACTGGGCGCCCCCCGTGAAGAGGTGCCTGTCCCCAACCGACGGCATTGGTCCATCCGAAAAAGCTATGGTCAGGGTGGCGATCAGTCCGAAAAGTAGGGCCACATTGGCGAACAGCGATACGGGTGAGATGTACTTGAGGTTGGTCATCAGCGAGGGAATCATGGCCGGAAGCAGGGTGATCAGCATCACCATGCTCATGCTGATATCGATGCCATTCTGCTGGAGGACCTGAAAGTATAATATAGGGTTATTTGTTGAGGTTACCATAAGACTCATTACCAAGAGGGGTCATTACGTTTTAAAATTGTAAAGTAAAAAACAATATAATAATAGAATACATAAAAAGGTCAAGTGTTTACAGTACATATTTTGCTGAGTAAAAATAATATTAAATGGAAATATAATATAGGGATATTTTGGGGTAACCATAAGAATCATTACGATAAGGGTTAATTACGTTTAAAAATTGTAAGGTAAAAAATGTAATGCGTAAAAATATTTCAAGTGTTTATATTACACATCTTGTTGTGTAAAAATAATATTAAATGCTTATACTTTTTGAACTGATTATAACAATCTTTGGTTTATACCTTTTGAACTGATTAAAATAATCTTAAAATTTGATTTTTATGCACCCAGAAAAAATATGGACTAAAAACCCAACAAATTTACTTAAATTAAGGTAATATGGACTAAATTTTGACCTAAGGAATCATTAACTTATTTAAGGTCCATCATATTCAAGGCCATGGATAATCTAAGGTATTGTTCATAATATGAAAAAAATTTAACATTCAGATTTTCATCTAAACTCTTATACAATTAAAATGATTTAATTTTAGGGTTTTGACGCATCATAAAATTTGGGTACTATAACATTTTATAAAAGGCTTCACTACTCTTGTTAATAATTTTAAAATTATGTTTAAGTAGTTATTCTTAGGATGTTGGAAAGTATTCTTTTTTGGTACTCATCCCTCTTTATACAGTATTTTAACCAAAACTCACCTGGTGAAGGTTCTCGGTGATGAAGACAAAGTAGATGGCGCAGAACCCAAACTGCGTGACGCACAGGAACATTTCGACGACGAGCTTCATGACTCGCGACATTTTGCGCAGTGGGCGTGGTCCGTGTTCGAAGCACTTCTCCACCGTTTCCGGATAGTCGAGGAAATCGACGCCCGGAGTCCGTTCCACGGCCAAAACGGATCCGCGGATCAGCATTCGTTCACAATGGACGCACATCACCGCAATGATGGGTAACAGGATGGTGGCCCCCGCTAATCCTCCATTTTTGAAGCAATCTCCCATGGCGAAGAGTCCTGCACCCACACTTCCCTTGAAAAGATGGGTGGCCGCCTCCAGTTCACTGGTCTCATGGCCACGCCTGCGCACCGGATCCCCATTTTCGGGATCGGCGCCCTTCTCCTGACCCTTCTCCACATTCTTCTCCTGCTGTCTTCCGGTTATTTCCAGTGTTCTTCCCATTTCGCCGGCAGCTTCAATCGCCTTTTGATCGCTGCGCTGCTGTTGCTGTGGGTTAAATGGAAAATTTTGGAGTTACTTCGGGTTTTTTTTTTTGGTTCCTTGTTCCTAAAAAAAGCTTTAACGGTTCTTGAATGAGAGAAAGGGCGATTACAAACCGTTAGCTCTCTCCTTGGCATTATCTTTCTTTGTCTCCCTCACCTCAATCTTTTAACCCTAGGAAGTTCACGTGAGTAAAAAAAATCAGAAGGTAGAAGTACCGATTAATAAAAAATATTTAACACCATAAATACCTTAAAAAAATAAAATATGACTGTAAATTTTTGTATTAGGTAAACTTAAAGCTTAACTGCACTTTCTTTATCTCTCTTTGTCTTTGTTATTCTTTCTCCCAACTCATGTTTTAACCCTAGAAAGCGCACATATCGAAGTATTTGCACCATTTCCAAACAGTTTTATAAATCTTTAGGCAAAAATGTGCATACTGTTTAAATTACCTAATAAAAAGCGAATAGGTATATTATCTATATCAGAAATCTCGATATTCGATATTCATGTTTACCTTTCCAAGTGTTTTCTACAAGCAGTCAATAAAATAGTAACAGAAATTCATAGCAATAAAAACGCTGGTAATTGTTTGACCATATCTTAATTAAGTCATATAAAGCACTGAATGCCAATTAAATACGTTTAATTAATTATAATTCAAATCGCTTTTAGACTCGTTTATATCAATGTCAGAGCTAATCAATTATAAGAAGATGAAACCAATATCGTTTAAATCAGTGAATTTTCTTTGCATAAATAAAATATTTCTGCCAGAGTAATATAATTTTGCCAAGAAGTTTATAGAAAACTGAAGCAGACTTTTTCGACCTTTTAATGCATATACAGAGAGAATTATTCAAGTATATTGTTCTTGAATTGAGAACATTCGTTCTTTAAAACCGTGTAGGTACAATGTTCTTAACAGTAGAATAGTGAGAAGAAAAAAGTTAAATTGAGTTTATTTAACAACTTATTGATAAGTATAGACTACTGACGGGACTATTAGTTTAGTTGTTGAGATCAACAATGTAAGTACCGTAAACTTAGCTTAATTCAAGAACATTGAAAATAAAGTTTTGCTGTTCTTAAATAAATTTTGCGCAGTGATAAGATCCTATCCGATCTGGTGAAAAATGTATGTGCTTCAACATATTTATTTTTAAGTACGTATTTTGTTGTTTAATATTTTAAAATTATAACTTTTTTAATGGCATTTTAGTTTGAAAAATGTCCTTATTTTTTTGGATTCTACAATATTGATTTTTAAAATATACTTTCTAAAAAAAATAGTTTAAGCCATAAGAAAATATTTCAGATAGTCCCCAAAATATTTATAAATATGTGGCCCCGTTGATATTAAAAGCACATCATATGAAATGTGCAAAGATCTTCAAACAATATTTAAAGATCCGCTGATCATTGTTTTACGAGCTTTAAGTCTAATTTGAATATTCACAATTTGTTGTTGCACACACTCGAAATAAAAGCTAATTATTGGCGCACTCTCGCGGGTACTTAGGTTAAGAAAACATTTTAAACAACCGGGAAGTGGGAAATTAAACCGTCAAGGCCACAGCACTTAATTATTCACAATTCGTGTGGAGTGCGGATTGCGGGAGTTATGCATTTCATAATATTTTTATGTTCTGTGCACAGATTCCGCATTCTTTAATTAATCCAAACACCGATAAGCGATACGTATTAAATGTCTGTTTGTTCAGGTTCACCTGTTGATGGCTGCGAATGGGTATCGTCGAGGTATCGCCGAGGTATCGCAAAATGGCAAAATGGCTAAATGGCAAAAAAATAGGACCGCTCGCGGCAAGAACTCAAACCAGACTCAATGCTCGAGTTGGCCAACAGAAGCGAATAGCAAAATTGCAAGCGGCAAAAGTCGGAAAGCGAAAATACGAAAAATAGAAAAATAGAAAAATAAAGAGCGGGCGTCTGTCTGTGTGAGCAATGCAAAAATGCGCATAACGTTAACCCCCTGCACTTTTCGAAAAGTATCCCCCTTCTATTTGATTGCATTTCAAATTGAAAGGCGCCTATGATATCCCAATAAAATTCACTTTTTATGGGTTTACATGGGAACTCGTTGCTTAAAAACGGGAATTTTTACCATGGCTGTGGGTTAAAAAATGCTGGAATCCTCCAAATTACATTGGAACTTCATTTAAAATTAAAAAAATATATAATTTATAAATATTTCTAACTCTTACTAATTTTAAAATTTTTTTGAAGAATTATTATAAAAATTTTTTAGCTAATAATGAAATTACCGAAATCCACCACAAGTAAGGGGTTAAGATGTGTGAGAGACTGAGGGAGTTAAAGATCTATTCCGATCCTATAATAGATTATTGTTTCGAAAGCCCTTCTATTTGATTATATTACGAATTGAAAAGCGTTTATGATATATTAATAAAATTTACTTTATATGGGTTTACATGGAAAGTGTTGTTTAAAACGAGATTTTTTACCATGGCTGTAAGTTCAAAAATGCTGGAATACTCAAAATAAAATAAAAAATATATATATTTAATAAAAATTCCTAACTCTTACTAATTAAAAATTTTTTTACAAAAAATATTACCACAAATTCTTCACAAATAATGAAATTAGGGAAATCCGCAACAACTAATGGGTTAAGCTGCGTGGGAGTCTGAGGGAGTGTGGGATCTATTCCGATCCTATTATTGATAATTGTTTCGAAAGCCTTATTTGCAACTGGTCTGGCTGACTCAACATGATTTCGAATTCACTTTCCCTCGAGGACTTGTCACTTGTGAGTGGAAAATTACAGTGGAAATGCATTGAACCGAAGGGAGATGGAAAATAGCAGGTAGCCACTCATCGATAAAAGATCGTCATGGATCACTGAATAATTCTAGTCCCTAGACTAAAGTACTTCATTTAATAGCTAAACTATTAACAAGCTTAGCAAAATAAATCATCAAAACAATCGAAAGTATAATGAACAATTAGTATTCCAAGCTTGACAGAAGTAAAGTAAAGAAAAACCCCCTAGAAACCTATTTAATTTCAGAGGAATACTTCGTAAAGATAAATATCAGATTAGCAAAACAAACAAAAGAAAACTGATTTGATAGGGCTTATAATCTTTTTTGATCCAAATTAATTGAATTATTTTATTCCTTATCAATGCATATTATTTTATTAAGTGCTTTAACAGGAAAAGTATGATATTTCTTTCTACGTAAGATAAAAGTTGTTAATTTCTAGTATCAAATCAATTATTTTTTAAATTTCTATCACTGCTAGAGTCTTTTATATAAATATGCTAATTGCTGAAGCAATTAATGCGGCATGTTACTTGGAGTTTACCGGAAAAATCTGCTTTCAACTTACCTTTCTGTTCTTTATAAAGTTATTACCTTGGCTAAGCAGAAATGCAGTCACTCATTTTATTATATGCAAATTAATATCTAGTGATGTTGTACTTTAACTGATGTAATTAAAAACGCTTAACTGATCTATAAGAAAATACATTGTACCAAAGTAATTTCGTATATCTCTTCTAAAATATCCAAAACGTGGTTATTGTATTCATTAATGGGGACCACAAAACATACTGCTCTACTTTGGATATCTATGGTCGTCATGCAATGTTAGTTTATTTATTTATTATTTACATTCGGAAATTATATAAAACGTAATTGGAATTTGTAAAGAAATTAATTCTATATTGTTTTGTGGCACGTGATTTACCAGAAGTAATTAGTATGTAGTAAGTATATTTATAACAAGAAAAGTAGTACGAACTACTAATCTATATACACTAAGATTACAAGCGAACGAACTTTAGGATAGTTAATATTATTTAAAAATTTGTTCAGTAGCCGTGTTTAATGCGCTCTACATGTTTAAGTTGAAGAAATTCGTAAAAAACCGTATTTATTTATAGGTTCGACTTCGGCGTACATTTATGGGCAGTAAAAATGTTGTCATTCATCATTCAAAGATAGTTAATTTATTTATTTTCTCTCTGTCGGCTATTCAAGTGTATTTTAAGAGTACAATGTTGTATTCGTAACGCTGATTGCGTCATGACATTGGGTACAGATATATAGATGGGTATTATAAAAAAAAGGGTTGTGGTCGGGGGTTTCCACCGGCAGGAAGTGGTTCGATCAGGTTCAAGGATCCGGTCGCGTTCCGGAATTCGGTTTTCGACTTGATTTTAAACCGGCACGTGCCCATCGCATCGAATTCTTGAGCGTAGCATGAATATTCCAAATATTATATATATATAACGTAAAGCGCACCGCATTCGTGACCGTTACACCTTTACCTTAACCCCCTGCTGCCCCCTGGGGCCAACCAATCGAAGACGCACGGAAATTTACCGCCTTGATTGAAGAAGCGCCGGTTAAATGAATTGCACGGAATCAAAGTTCTCCGGTCGGCTGCTGCATCTCACTTCTTCCAATCAAACGATAGATCGATCGATCGATCGATCGATGTTTACGGAATTCAGCAATTGGATTATATAAGGGGTACTAAAAACAAATGCATAACAAATGGCAGGGACGCCCGCAAGGGTTAATATATCTTTTATATCACAACAAGATAGTTAAAATATTGTTATAGTCTTAGATCTTTGATCTATATTAATTAAATATTTTTAATATATAAAAAATATATTATTCAGCTTACAATGATCTTTACTGATCTATGATCTTAATATTTTAATATTGGACCCCCTTTTCGGACGCCCCTGACTTCCGCTATGCATATCCAACGACATTGTCCGCAGTTCCATTCATCGTTTGAGTTGAAGGTCGTTGGCAAAACGGTTTCGATTAGATTGATTTGGTTCGGTTTGGATTAGATTAGTGTAATTCCCATACAGGGAGATAGAACACGAGATATGATTCCCGGTATGGCTCTTAACCAGTTTCCTCCAGATGAAAGCGAAAGTCGACATACGATATCCATCGGAATACAATTTATGGATTCTATTGAAACGAGGTCAATGTCAAAACTAATTTGGAGCATTGAAGCGAAATTAAAATCGCTGCCAGCTCAATACTCGTGAATCTCAAAGAACCCGTTCCGCAACTTTATTGGTATTCGTCTCATTTATTATTATCTATTATTCGCACGTTTTTTGTAGCGAAAAACCTGCATATGATTTGTGATTTAGTATTATAAGGTGATTAGACATGATTTGAGTACCACTACGCGTGTGGTATGATTTGACCTAAGTGGATTCCTTGAGAAGCGCAGAGAAGGGCGCATTTTAATTAATTGAGTATTTTATGGGAATTCATGATCACTTTTTATTATTTCTATTCTTTCGATATTTTAATAATCGTGAATCTTAAAGAACCCGTTCCGCAACTTTATTTGTATTTGTTTCATGTATTTTATAACTATTATTCGCACGTTTTTTGTAGCGAAAAACCAACATAAGATTTTTGATTTAATATTTTAACGTGATTAAGCATGATTTGCGTACCACTACGCGTGTGGTATGAGTTGACCTAAGTGGATTCCTTGAGAAGCGCAGAGAGGGGCGCATTTTAATATATTGAGTATTTTATGGGAATTCATGATCACTTTTCATTATTTCTATTCTTTTGATTTTTTCCTCCCTCAAAAATAAAACAATAATGCAAAGCATTGTTATTTCAAGTACTTGAGACCCCAAAAATCACATCTGTCAAGTTTTTGTCATTTTGCGATGACGTCAAAACGAACGTCGCATCGTTTATTCTCACTTAATATCTATGAAAAAAATAATCAATTATAATAAGTAAAATGCGCTGCACGCTTGCTAAGACACAAAAAGGGGCACTTAGATATATATTTATGTGTATAAATGGGCATTTTTTTTGATAATAAATTCGCAAATATGTTATGTTTTTATGTATGTAAATAATTAAGGATTAAGAGTAGGTACATGTTTAACTGTTCCATAATGTTTTTGATTGTGACATGTTGCTAATACTTCTAAGAAAATGAAGTAATCCTTTAATGTCGCATTGTTTTTTGGTAATTCTGTTTACAATATTTGTTATGGCTTGCGGTTCGATTTTTTTTTATATTTAACTAAAGCTTTGATATTGAGGTTTCATCGACTATCGATTTTTGATACTGATGATCTTCTGCTTCTTATTCCTGTGTTGTTCGTCTAAGGCGTCTTAACTGCTTTTTCATCTTTTTAATTTCTTGAGTTCATAAATAATAGTTGTCAATCTAGGGCTGGTCATATTAATATATATTCTGTTGATTCCTTGGCAAGGTGAGTGAATAATCGTTGTGATCCTTTGTAGATTAGGGTTGATCGTCAGCTCTTTTATGAAGATGGTATTGTGAAGTCGATCTTCTGTAGTTTAACACCAATTTTGGAAGATCCTCTGGTATTTGAAGTTCGATGTTATAATGATTATCTTCAGCGAGGTTTAGCTCCACTCTTCTCACGTCTGGTCTTTGATGAGGATCCCAAGCCTTCGAAGATTCCTCTTCAAAGGAAGTTCTCCTCAGTGCACCTCCTCCTCCCCGAAGTGCTTGACAATTTGTTTGAGACTCTCGTAGGAGCCGGTGAAGAAGCCCAGCAAGGCCAACACCAAGATGACGAGGTTCTTTACGCAAATCCAGACGCCCGGTCCTTTGTTGAGGTCACTCCTGGCGATCAGCTCGATGACGGGTGGAAAGACCAATGCCAAAGCCGTTGAGCATAGTGCTCCGATTAGCGAGATAAAAAGTCCCAGGGCCGGAACCATTTCCGCGATGGCAACTGCAGTAGAACCTTGTAAGACTCCCCTTTTCAAAATGGTCCCTCATGCCGGATACTTACGAGTCACCAGGACCATAAAGGTGCGGAAGCCCAGCTCTCCGACCAGCGATCGTCCTTCAATGCCGCACATTTGCTTGGCACTGGGCCACATGATCTGGATGGCCACAAAGAACTGTAGAGGATAACCCAGTAGAACTCCAGCGGAGACCATCAGTTTGACGCACTGGGCCAGGCTGTGGACGATGAAGAGTTCCATAGAATCGGATGATCTAAGTAGCAAACCCCAGGGGCCCCTCACTCACATGGTATCGCCCAGATTGAGGGTCAAACTGCCTCCGACCTGCTCACCCCACTTCATATAGCCCACGGATCCGGCGAACATGAACATGACGGAGACGAGGAACATGCCCACATTGAGCACACCCAAAGGTCGCTCGAACTGGTGTGGCTTTCGCATGGCGTTCTTCAGCGGCATCACCAGAGCAATGCCTTCGAAGGCAAAGATGGCGGTGCCGAAGAAGAGGGCCAGCTGGGAGCCGTTCGTCCAGAGGGCGCGTTCCTCCACCTCCGGCAGTCCGTCCTTGAGAGCATAGTACAGGGTTATGGCCAGTCCCACGATCATACAGATATTCGCGAACATCGAGACGGGGGTGAGCCACTTCAGGTTCGTGATCAGTGAACTGAGGAGCACGGGCACAAAGGCCAGCAGCATCACCAGATGGACGTTCATGTCAATCTCGTAGGCTTGCAGGATCTTCGAAAGTGTAACCCATCTTTAGTTTCCTCTCATCTCATCCTTCCTGCTCGTAGCCAAAACTCACCTGCTTCAGATTCGTGCTAATGAACACAAAGTAGATACAACAGAAGCCCAACTGGGTCACACAGATGAATATGTCCACCAGACGTCCCATCGTTCGGGACCAGCCCCTCAACTTTGGTGGACCATTCTCGAAACACTGCTCCACCGTCTGCGCGTAGTCCGCACACACAGTTTCTCCCTTGAGATCCCGCATCTTCTTGGAGCAGGTGACCAGGACATGTTGGCAGTGAATGGACACCACCGCTATCACCACGGTTAGAAGTGGGGCAACCAGGAGACCTCCGTTCTTGAAGGCATCCCCCATGGCGAACAGACCGGGTCCAATGTTGCCCTTGAACAGGTGCACGATTGTCTCCAGGTAGCTTGAATTACAGGAACACAGATCATCTTTGGATTTTGGGTTCTTTGAGGGGGGAACTGGGTTAGGTGTTTTTGGGTTGATATGGTAACTCCATTAGTCTTGACATTTCGCAGGGTTATCGTTGGGATCAATGTTAGTAGGTGATGACTTCGTTTGGAAATCAGGATCTTTGCAAAAGTTGCATCCAATGACGAATGAGAACAGGATCAGATGGGTTATAGGATTACTTTTATTGATCATCTTGGGTTTGGGAGTGGTGGTTCGGATGCAATAGGTATTCCATGGGGAGAGATATTGTTGGGATCAAAGTTAGTAGGTGGCAATCGGTGATATTTGCATTATATATTGATGTATTAGTTTAAAGCTGGGATTCTTCGGGGTATATTTTTGGATAGAGGGTTCCACGATGTTGGTTTTATTGCGGGAACGTGGTTAATTTCTGGTAAAAAAGGTCCATGGTTAATCTTTTTTTGCAGGTTGTCAGTATTGATATTAGTTGGTTTATAGCTGGGAGTCGGGATCGATTCAGGAAGGTTTATTTTTGAAAGCATGGTTAGTTGGTTAAAGCAGGAATTCAGGATTTGCATAGGAGTTGGGTAAGCTTTTGTAGGGTTGGTTAAAATTTAAACTAGGAAGGAGAGTAAGCTTCTAAGTTGGTTTCATTAACTTAAGCTAAAGCATATGGTTAATCTTAAATCAAAGGTTAGTATAGGTGAGGCTTCAGTTAGTTGTGATGTTATTTGCAGGTTTTTTTTGGGCTAGGTTTATTAGTTCGTTTACGAGGAGCAAGCAGTTAAATCGAGGATTTTCCAGAAGCAGTAATACCTTGTAGGTGGATGGTACTCCGCATCGTGTTCTTCTTTCTCGGTGACCTTGGCTACTCCACCTCCACCTGCTGTTTCACCTGCCGCTCCTTCAGTCACAGTTTCCTGTTTTGGAACTGTTACAGTCTGATTTTTGGGCGCCTTTAAAGTTATATATTTCATTGATGAAAAGGTACGAAAAATAAATAAAAACAAAGGCTTAAAAATAAAGTTAAAATACGTAGAAAGGGAAACGCCATTTGTGGATAGTTTTCCCCGATTTAATTGTTGATGGTTTTCAATTGACCGATAAAAACGCAAGCCTCTCAAGTGTTTCCGCCTGTCAGTCTCCATGATCAAGTTCATAGACGGAGATCTTATCCGGGGAATCACAGATCAACTCGTGCACATATTTAATTCCACATGACTGGACAATTTAGTATACTGTAATAAATTCTACCGGGGATTTCCATCACTGCGACAGATGGAAAAGTTCTCCCTGCATCAGTGATAAGAGGGCCTATGTTTCGGGATAGTTAGGGCCATAAATAAGGCCACAAACTAAATCAGAGCCAATTAAACGGATTCATAAAAGCCAAATACAAAGCAAATTAAATGCTATCTATATCTTTATCTATATATAGTATCGGCTAGATAAGTGGCCTTTCGATGACACCCGAACGTTTGCCAACAGACCAACCGATATCTATATCTATATATGTTGCACGTGCCTGCCTCGAACATCGAAACTCGGTGGGTCTAATTGAAATTTGCCGATAATCTCGAAAATGCGTTTACATTGTTATAAAACATTGACACCTGTTAACTGCGTTGTCAGAATTCCAATGATGAGTAAGAAATAAAAGAGATACAACTAAAAAAATACCTATAAATCCAAAACAAAAGCACGAAGTTATTAAAATAATTAATACATATTTTTTGAATGCCTTTATTTGATCATAAAGAAAGAAACCTGCTTGTAAATTTGCCTCATTTATAAAATGTTCTATAAATTCGTGCCTTGTAATAGAATCCCGTCACGTTCTTTCGTTACTTTTGTGATAAGTCACTGGTAACTGCCATAGGAAAAACCCACGTTCATTCACAATATTTAAATCACCCGTGATAAGTTGTTATCAACGAATTATGACTGCAATATTGAACATATGATGCATTAATTGAGATAGATGGTAAGTGATTTACTGTGCACTTTGTCAGTTGGACTACAAATGAATTTGTCGAAAGTCTTACACTGTCGTTTTTCAATCCCTGTTGCCAGCTACCTAATATATATCTATATCTATGAAGTGGTCTAAGTGAATCTTAAGTGTCGTAAATAACGAGTTACTTATCAAACTGATTTTGCTTTCGCTGCGAATCACTCTCATAAGCACGCTTAGATTACCGTCCCACATGTGGTATACGCAATCAACTGGAGGACATGGCGCCCCCGACGTATACGTGATATTTAAAAGGGTACTCCACATAGTTCACATGAAACCTTGTGTAAATCTAGACAATTAATTTCGTTGCTTATCGGCAGTTAAAGTAGTTAAGACAAAGTAACTATAAATTGTTATGGTCCTACACTGCCCACTAGGTATTGGGATTGTGAAAGGTGTTTTGAATGATTTGGGGATCATTATTGGTAATGGCATAGTTCTGCTTTACAGATCTTAATATACTAGTATTTAATTATTAATATTTTAATATGTCTTAATAAGAAATTACTTTGAGAAGTATTGTATTAAAAATGACTCAAGTTAATAAATTTCTTTGTAAATAATATCATTTAGATGGTTTTTTTAGGGTATAAAAAGAGTCGGCATTGAAGAAGAAAGTTTTTCTTCTGTCACTAATTAAGTAAGAAACAACTATAGAGGTAGGACATGGGCGTGGGCAAGGGGGTGGTGGAAAAGTGGAGGGCACTTCCATACCCTTGAACCGCTTTAACTTTAATCTAGACCAGATTCTACCGTGGACAAGCAGACTGGCATGCCGTCAATTGATGACAGATAACACCAGATAGAACAATCTTCAAGTGCGTGGTGTGGTCCACCCCTGACACCCCCCCAAAAAAACCCCTCCACTTGGCCCATGGGCAGTCCCCATTGGCAGACTGTCAACAGGGCCGCACTGATATTATTTATGTGCGGTCTCATTTCCCTTCTTTTTTTTGTATTTCTTGTACTTTTTTTTGCTTCTTGAATTGAGCAATATCTTCGAGTGGAAAATTTTCCACGGCTGACGGTGCGTGGGGGCCTGGTCTGGTCGGTCTGTCTGTCTGTCGAGGGTTCACTGCACTTGGGAGCAACACAAAAATGTTTAATTTCTCTTTTATTAATGTTGCCGGAAATCTGGCAAGCTCAAAGGGAACCTTGATTGGCCTTTATTGGCAAAGCTTTTGTCCGCCACACGAATGCATTCGAGGAAAAAATTCCATGAAATTTGATATTTGCTTTGATTTTTCTTATATTTAATAATTTAAATTTATTGAAGAAATTCTTATTAATCAAATTAATTAAAAAGGCTCATTTTTAATTAATTTGATTAATAGGAATTTCTTCAGTTATTTGTTATAGCATTCGCACAGAGAGAAGTATTCAAGTAAATTGTTCTTGATTTGAGAACATTCGTTCTTAAAAACCATGTAAGTGCAGTTTAGTATAAATTATCTCAATATTAGAACGAAATGGTGAGAAGAGAAAAGTTAAATTGAGTTTATTTAACAACTTTTCAATCAGACTAAACTAATAGTTTAGTTGTTGAGATAGATGTAATGTAAAAATTCATCTTGATTTGAGCACAATGCAAACATTTTCATCTTCAAAAATGTTCTTCTTTTTTTAAGAACATTCTGAGCTCAGCTTAGAACGTTAGAATTCTCTCTGTGTAATTTTCCTTCAAATGTTTAGCTGAGTGTAAAATCCTATAGATAGAGATAAATGTAAAATAGTGCTTGGTGTCTGGTCCAGAACAAGTTCTGACCTTGATCAGGCAAATGCATAAAAGTGTGTGAATTTTCATTTTCCATTATTTGCATTTTGAAGCGGCAAAAACACCTCAGGCGTAACTATGCGAAATTCAGGGGTGTGCGCAAAAAGGGATTTTTTTGTTCAATGCCATAAATCATTGGTTATCTTATATTGACAATAAGTGACAGCCCTTCCATAAATCCAAGCCAAAAGATAAGCACGAATTTCGCACTAATCAAGGGTTTAATTTAACGGAAGTTGATGCCAAAATTAAAGGCTTACGGTGATAAGAAAATTAAGTCCTTTAATAATAATATAATATATTTTATGGGATTTTAATGTATTTAGTTAAGCTCCATTAAGAATTTCGGAAAGGTTTAATTAAACAGAAATAATAATAAGATCTATTAATTTTAAATCATGTAAGATATTGTTCTAATACTATTTGAAAAGAAATAATAATAGGACCCTTTAAAAATATCAATAAAATATTTTTGATTATTTATTTTAATTGACTAAATTTATGGTTCTAATTTTATTATTATTAATTGTAACCCCCCTTAAAAACCAAACTTCTTAGTCATTATTCCCATCATTCCGATGTTTGTACAACTGTTTGCATGCCTAATGAGTTCCCATTAATATTATTTTACCACATTCCATTTGTAAATTGCTGTTATTAAACCGGCTTATCGCTATTATAATACCCCCCTGAAAAAAACTCTGCCCGCCCCTCAGTTTTTTGACCAAGAAAAATGCAACAGCTGTCTTAAAACATTTGTTGATTTTTTTTTTGACTTTGCACTTGAATTTTTTTTTGGTTTTACCAAAAGAAGTTGTCTTTGTTTTTTGACTTTTGACTTTTGAATTTGAGTTTTTGTTGTTGTTTGACAACCGGCATAATTAACTCGTTTTGTTGTGCGTCGTAATTTTTTCGGCTTTTTGTTGGCTCTTTTTTTCCGTTTTTTATTTGGGTTTCACTTTTGCGTTTTGGGTTTTCTTTTTTTAGGCATGTGTCTTAAATTTAACGAATGCAATTTAATTACACACCTCGGCATCCATGTTGTTGTTGTGGCTCTTCGGTTTTCCTGTTGTTGTTCTGGTCCCAGAAGTCGGTCAAAAAAATTGGGCAAACCAAACGGAAAAAAAAAATGTAAAGAAAACACACACGCAATTTGCCTGTTCTTGATCTTAATGATTTATTTTCGTAGCCACCGATCAGTAGTGCTGTTTGTCGTTTATTTATTTATTTTTCGCTGAGGATGCGGATGCGGTCGGATTCTGGGCCTTTTCAGCCTTTGGCGATCTGTGTTCACTGTGTGTTAATCGCTCCACGAAAAATTCAAGACTGACGACCGGCAAAGCGGCGACAATCGTTTGGTTATTCGGACTGGCAGCGAGTGGGAGTGAGATAGGTGGCGGTACACTCAACAAAATATCCCCGACAATTAGCGAATTTTGTAAAAATCAAAAAAAAAAAAGGTTATCGATTATATAAAAGAATTACATATGGCAAAATGCATTTTTTATTGAATGTCTTAACATTAAAAATATTAAATTTTATAATTTTTGGGAATATATTTTGTACAATTAGACACTTAAAAAAAATGGTAGTTATAGACCCTACTCAAAAATATATAATATACTCAAAAATATATATATATATATATATACTTGGCAAAATGCATTTTGTATTGAATGTCTTAACATTAAAAATATTAAATTTTATAATTTTTGGGAATATATTTTGTACAATTAGACACTTACAAAAAATTGGTAGTTATAGACCCTACTCAAAAATATATAATATACTCAAAAATATATATATGTATAATATATATACAAAAATATTTTAAGTAATATAAAAATATCTGTGGTATTTTAAAGATTAGGTACTTCAATTTTATTAACAAGTGATTCCGAAACATAATTTTTCCTTATAAAATTTAGTGGCTTTATCTAAATGTTACAAGTGAAAATGAATTTTAAAGCACAATAATTAATTTATTAAAAATTATAAAATAGACTTTTGTCCAACATAACAGACTTAAGCTTTATTATATAGCTAGCAAAACATTTTTTTTAGGATTTCAAATTACTAAAACGAATGATAATGCTCGAATTTTCTGCTAGTGTACAAGTGAAAGAGAGCATCTCCCCACTTCACCTCTTTTCCCCTCTCTCACTCACTCCTTTGCTGCCTTATTATAAAAAAATTCGAGTGCGAAAGGGAGGGCTGCTAACAGGTTGTCGATCAGCTGGTATAATTAAGTTACATAGTTCCCATAGCTAGCCACAGGTGGCGTTGCCACAAGTGAATGAAGTCAATTAATGAATGGAACAAATAAGTTAAGTGCTTAGCGAATTAAGAGAGATGGAGGCGAATAAGAAAACATCAGAACAATTAGGAAAATTATGAAGAACTAGGAACTGCAAATCTTACAAATATTTATTTATATAATATTTGTTGTTATGGCTGTAGGGAGAACATTGTTGAAAGCGCCCTCTATGTCCAGAAATTCAGCAAGTGCGTATTGCGAGGCTTTGCCCGCTTTGGGTATAAAGACTACCTTTGTTTCCCCTCCATGTTGATGGCAACGTTCCTATCCTAAGAATGGTACGGAAAATTGTCTTTAGCCAGTTGATGACAAGGATCGGGTCCTGGTGATTTGAAGGGTTTGAAGCTGTTTATGGCCCAACTTATGTTGCGTTCGGAAAGAAGCGTTTCCAAGTCAATGCTTAGACCTGCATGATTATCTGGGAGACGTTCTACCGGTAGACTACCCGGAAAGTGGGTGTCTAGTAGTAGGCTTAGGGACTCCTCACTAGAGTCTGTCCATCTGGAGCCATCTGGTTTTTGAAGGTACCCCAAGGAGGGGGTTGTTTTGGAGAGGATCTTCCTAAGCCGAGCTGCATCGGCCGTTTCTTCTATGTTTGAGCAGAAGGTCTGCCAAGCTGATCTTTTTACTTTCCTTATGGCCTTCTTGTAGGAGGCTAGTTCTAACTTGTACTGTTGCCATTTTAGATCCTCATTTCCTGCTTTTGCCCTGTTAAAAAGGGTTCTGCAACTGGATCTGAGTTCTGAAAGTTTCTGTGTCCACCAAGGAGGCTTTCTGGTTCCTTTTGGTTTGCGTTTAGGGTGGGCTGCTTCGAAAGCCGAGTTGTAGGCATTCGTTAACATCCCTACTATGTTATCAAGACTGAGTATATCACTGTTGTCATTTGGGGGTTCTATTGCAAGAATGTTTAGTAGGGCTTCCCTATAAGCGCGCCAGTTGGTACGTCTAGGGTTGACGAATTCAGCTGGTGTAGGAGGGTCTAGTGATAAAGTAGTTTCTATAAATCTATGGTCAGAAAAGAGTGTTCGTTTGAGACTTCCCAGTTTCTGACTGCTTCTAGCAGACTACCTGACACTAAGGTCAATGACTGTTTGGCTATTTTTTGTGATAAAGGTGGGGGTATTACCCCTGTTGCATAGAAATAGATTTGCAATATTGAACTGCGTTAGTTTAAATAAAATTTGAATTATTTAAAGAAATAATCTACAATGACTGCTCCGTTTAAGCTGTGCTTTATTATTATTGATTTGTATAAAAATCAATTGAAGCCAAAGGCAAAGGCGGTGAGAGACAAAGAATTCCATTAATAAATATGCAGAACAAAAAATTATTGCCTAACTTTATAAAAATACAAGTTAAATATTATTGATTTAAAATTGCATTAAACATTTTGTATAAAAATTAAATTTATTAATTAATAAAAATGTTGTATAACATTTTCATAAATTATATAAAGCAAAAGACTAAGGCGCCAAGAGAAAAAATGACACCATTAACAAATTTCCACAATAAAAAATGATTGCCTAATTTAAAAGAAATACATTTGAAATATATTATTTTAGAACTGCACAAAAAAACATGGTATGTTATAACATATTTAAAAACAAGTATACAATTTATGAAAGACACTTTTTAAAATCGCTGAATGTTTCTTCTACTTTAAACTTTAAAATACAAGTTAATAAAAAGTAAAAGTAAAGTATAATATATTATTTATCTGGTTGCCTTGTAAACTGTATGTGATGGCACTTTCACTTTTCTTCCAGTGCATTTCTCCTCCATGGGGTTCTATTGCGGGACACACGCCAACTATTTGAGCAGATCGCTCAATTGAAGACTGGCGGCTGCCTTAGAACACAAAGAAGCGCCAGTTCAACCCTGAGACCCTGTCCCTGGCCTTGAAATTAGATGGACAGTCCATAAAGCCGTAGATATATGCCTAGAGATCGAACATTGTCCTCTGATTTGACATGATTCGCCTGTTCTTCGGATGATGGGTGGGATTGACTATAAAAAGAATCACATTTTGGGTCAGCCGACCCAATGACGAATACCATCTAGCCAGAACGTGTGTGGATCGAAAATATATATGCATAATACTCTCCCGAAAGATAAACACATTTGGCAAAATATTAGGCTATAAAATATAGGAATGACCAAGAAATATTTCCTCAAAATTTAATTTTATATTTCTAAACTTACTGATTCGTAAAACTTTAAAAATTTTAGATAATACATGAGAAAATTCTAAAAATTTTAAACCAATGTGTTAAACAAATTTTCTAAAATCAATAGGGTATTCATAGCTCAGCACTAAATGGAAAACATTTTTTTGCAATGCTTCTTAATTCTTTGAAAACAACACAAGAATAAATGTATAAAAATGAATGAAATGTGCTAGCTAGTAAATTATATATGTATTGTTTTCATTTAAATGTCGATGAACTTCTACTGATGGATTTCAATTATATTCCGAATTAACTGCAGAAATATTTTATCATTTCAATACTTGTATCATTTTAAGCAGGATTATCTTTTGAGGGTGGGCCATTCCATTAGCGGTGTATAAATAAATATATGGTTTTTTTTATTGCTTTTAAGACAGCTAGATTTATGAGAGCACGTGAAAATTTTCCACTATCGCGTGCCAAAATTTTAAAAACATAAGACAACCATTTGTTTTGTTGAACCAACATTAAAAAAAATATGTTAAAAATAATTTTAATGCAATTTAAAACAATATAATAAGTCATCATGTATTATTATCAGATCGAAATGGTATTTTAGTGACAGATAAAATATAATCGAAAGGTATCTATTTTCCTTTTTAAATACCCGTCGAGTAATGTAACCCCCCTTCAAATTCCTGGTGACTTTCGCTTTTAATGTCGCACTAAGTCTTGCAACTTCTTAACTCATCCAAAACATCCAAAACAGGTAGTTCTGCTTCTGTCATACCTACATATATAAGATTTATAAGATATCTAGACATCTATGTGGAACCCCTGACATGCTTGGCTTCTGTTTAGATCGCCGACCAAAAAGAAAACTTGCAATTAAAAATGTTTTGCTTTTATTTCGTTTGTCTTTCCCCAGCGAGTGCGGCTTTTGTTTATATTATTCAGTGGATTATTGTTATTAAAAGTCATACGGACAGTCCCCCTTTTATTCGCTTGAGGCGTTTTCGAAGCGTTTTCGTCAATTGCCGTTGTCTTGAAACGTTAAACGTTTTTTAGTAACGCTCCAGTAAGTCCGAATAACCAGAGAATATTATTGTCTTAGTGCTGGTAATTACCCAGCGACAGATAGACATACCTGATTTTAAAGGGCGGGGTCACCGCCCCTCGGCGAAAGTCACCAACAACAAGCCAAAAAAAAGAAGTCGGCAGAAAATTATGAAAACACAAAAAATATGATATTTAATTGCAGAATGCGTAGAAAGTGAAAGATCTGAAGAGTCGGCGGTGGATTAAGACATTGTCGCCGTATCTGAAACTCGAAATCTCGATCTCTTAACTCATTCTGCTACTGTTCCAAGTCACTTCACGCCATTGTCACCCTTTCTGAAAGCGAAATTATAAGCAAGGTGGATTATATACACCAAAATAAAGGTATTTCTTTAAAATATCTATAGAAACCATCTAAGAATACCAAATTCTACTATACTAACTTTGGAACTTTTGCATGTACGACTTGCTGAGTCATCAGATAAAGTATCATACATATAAGAACAGAAGATATAGTGGCTTTGACTTTTATTCAAAGTATTCATTTTATTTAAAGTACTATCTAAGTTATTAACATTACAAATATTTTGCTTACATTTTATACCAATAAATTAGTTTTTACAATGTTTCATAGCTTATTTTGATGATCAGGGACCTGTACCCTCGATGGACCAATGTACTACAATCGTTAATTGTTTCCCACATACTAATGACAATTTTCTTTTAATTTATCGCCTTGTCCAGCCATTCCATTCCAGTCCAAAGACAGCTGGGTGATCGGATGAGCCA